TATTTACTAAACGAAATACAAGCATATAGTTTTCAGAAATTGTTACCTAGTTCGTTTGTGGGCCCATCTATTTGTCCTTTCGTTAGTTTCTCAAATTTACTAACTGTCTTTCTAGATCTTCGCGTTGGTTAAATCTATTTTATATACAGTTACGTAAATGTCATGAAAATGAATATTGTAGTTTATATAGGTAACATTTATCAGTAATGAAAAGCATAAAAATATTACAATAGTACTTTTATATTGTATATTATATTACAGACTTCTATCATAGTTGGGCTAACGTTATGCAGCATCTCTGATGGATTCATTTTCGGCCAGATGTCTGGTATGGTGGACGTTTTCAAAATTCAAAAGTTAGAAAATCCAAAGATAACACAAGAACCAGAGTAATGACAAAATGATCAGAAGAAAGGAGACCAAGTTCATTATGACCAGATAGGATGAAGAAGTTGAGAATGACACAACTAATTTGATGATGATGATGATGAATAGATGTATATTTTCTTCATTGTTCTCATTGAAGTGATATGTACTTACGTACTAGAACAGCTATTTCAAACAAAAAGTGTGCGCTACTCTGTGTTCGCTTGTTGGTTTTTTTATCATAGAATAAACATAGGTAGACTGATCAGTAGGTAATAGTAGATTGTATTGTTAAATAGGTAAATTAGAACAAGATTTTTTTTTAATTTTTGTCATTTATTTTGTATATTATATTTGCTTATTTAATATAATATTACATAATATAGAGTTTCTGAGTGGTTTCTTCGTATAAAAATGAAATCATAACTCAATTCCTATATTCTATTGTTTTTATTTTGTAAAATTATATGTATTATTATGCTATTACAAAAATTATAATAATGAACTTAACTAAAATAATAATTAAAATTATAATATTTACGATTAAAACTAATTATATACAATATAAAAGAAGAAACTATAATATAGAAAATCTAAAACTAAAAATTTTAATCGTCAAAAAGACCTGCTCCCCGTGGTATAGTGTCAAGAACGCTGGCTGCGTTTCCTCGATGAATAGCTATACTTAGCCTTTGAGCGAGGAAAGAACCAGCCCTCTTATCACCAGCAGCGACGACCAGTCGTGGATACAGTTCTTTTAGAAACTTCACTGCACGTGAACTCCACGGACCGATAGTCTCTACAGCAAATGGCACAAATATGTAGTCATTTCTCAAAGACCCATATTTGCGCCATTTACTAAATTCGGCTGCCTCTGATGCCGCCTCGGCTCTAAAAGAGGTACCCCTGAGATGAGAGGCCGCCAAAGTGTCAACGCAAGTAGCATCCCACACTAGGGCTTTATCTCTCTCCCAAGGGACCAAAGCATACTTTCGGGTCTCTTGTCATCGTCTCTAAATATCCCGCAAGGCTCTAAAACCGAGGGGATATTTATGGAAACAACAGCTCTTCGGATGATTTCGTTCAAAGAACCGTGACGGGAAAACCTACCTGCACTTTTCTTCTATGAAAGTCCATTGAGCCCAAACTCATCGACGCTGCTACCACAGGGGCACTGGTGAGGTTGACAAATTGCCACTCCTAGCCGAATTCCTACGGCGATGCGCAAGCTTTCCCCATCAAGCAATGTGCCGAGATTACTTGATGGTAGAGCATGTAACCAGTGGCTAGATTCCTTAGTCGAAACAGCTAGAAGGCGAGCCTGATCTTGTTGACTGTAGAAATTTTGAAATAAATTTTTCTGGACACTCCGTACCAACGGAATATCTCACTGTTTTTGTTGGTTAACTTCCAGTGGGACATTTTCGCCGGGACAGAGCGTTAGCCATGTTTGCCTTGCCTCCGCAGCAAAGCACAGGTCTACTTTATTATTTAAAATTGTGTTACATAGATCATTGAAACTATGCACAGAAGCAAGGAAAGCAGGCAATGCGACGCAAGAAATAGTTCTTACACCAGTACCAACAAATTTGATAGGTAAAGTGGCTTGATTCCAGGCTATTGTATTTAATCTCAAATTTAGAATTTTTCTAAAGCAATTTTAAGATTATCAATATCTAATATAATATAAGACTAGCAATATCTTTTAAAATATCCGAACATTTCCAGACTGGACTTGAGCGTAACAAGTATGCAAATTTAGGTACAAGGAGACAATATTTTAAAATGGTAAGGGCAATATGGGGGTTTAAAATATATAATTTATCAACTTGATTTCAAAATTTATCAAATTTTGTTTTTAAAACAGGTTTAATACTATCGAAAAACAAAGGAGCACCGAGCAGGTAAAGCGATTCCGAATTGACAGTTTTTATTAGTGGAGAAATCTGATTGAAATTTTGAATTAAGGTATCTCTGTTAGAATTAGATAAATTATTAGAAACAAATATTTCACATTTATTGGTATTTGATGCAAGACCAATATTTTTAAAGTTTTGAAAAATATGAATAAGATCACGTCATCTGCTTTACCTCCCAGTTTACCGTCGTCCAGAAACCAGACATTCAGCTTGGATTTTAAATTTGAAATAATAGGTTGAATTCCCAAACTGAAAAGAGCTGGACCTAATGGATCACCCTGCTGAACACCGACAGGAGACTCAATAATATGGTTTTGATAAAACAAGTTTGAATTTTGACTGTAACATTGCCAAACGTAATGATATATTTCGGGGGTATTGTTAGCCACTTCTTTCAGCAGCGTTATCCTATCAATAGAGTTAAAAGCACTTCTAAGATCAACTTTCAGAAGAACATCTGCATTGGAATTAGTTTAAGAAAGTACGCACCGAATGTACCGCCGCCTCACAGCCACCTTTGGTGCCAAAGCCTAGTTGAGTAGGTTGAAATTTTGTCTTAAGGTTTGAGATTATGTGCCTGCAAGCTAATTTTGAAGTTAAGCGTCGAAATGTAGAACCAACAGCAATAGGACGGATACCGTTATCCTTTTTTTTGAAGGCACGCAATCTTGCCCCATATAAGTGGGGAATGAAATTGGGATTGATATTACCAGAAAGCATAAAATTACATAATTTTGTAATGTCATTAAGAAGTACCCTACCGGCGTCACCGGCAGATACGCTAACAAGATCTTTGAGATTCTGAGGCGTAATCCCGTCAATGCCGCCGGCAGAGCCATTCGAAAATGACAATATTGCGTCTAAAGTATCTTTTTTAGAAATTTGTAAAGGTTGCATAGAAGTATTGGGAGGCGGCGGTAAATTCTGGGAAGGATTGACCGAAGGATGTTTGTGACGAAGGCCTTCAAGAGTTTCGACATTACGAGGAGCGAGGATGTCATCTGAGAATAGAATACGGGATGCATTTTTTAAGTCGCCGTCCATTACTTTTGATTCAACTACTTTTTTTTAAATCAAATTGAGGATAAGGTCGAGATAAATGAGTATTAAGCGGGTAATCCAAATTTCGAAAAGAATTTTCTTTTAGTTGAGACGTAATTGATTTATTTACTGTTTTATTAAAATGAAAATGGGTTTACGCGAATGTAAATAATTTTTGCCAACTCTTTTCACAATTCGTTAGACACTTTTGAATAGTGAATGATAATGCTTTAGCAAGTTGCATCCTCGCACCTCTGGGAATTCTTTTAACCACTGGTACGTTACTATACAATTTGTATAATTGTTCCGAAAAAAGTGAAGAATTTGTATCATTAGGTATATTACCAGAAGAGTCATGAATTTCAACGGTAGGTTGTGAAGCCGAAATACTTTTACTATGGCATCGTTTAATGTGTATATTTAATCTCTTTTTTACCTTTAAATAGCCTACCGTCGGTACAATTTTGACACCGTAGGAAATCCGGCTGTGAATGTATCGGAGCGATAATATTCATAGAAAAAGTAAAAATTTAAAAATGTTAAAATATATCTACAGCACTCAAAAGTCTATAATTTTGTATAAATCAAAATCTTGAAAATTAAAAGAAAACCCTAGTTCTCGAGCTTTGTTTATCGCCTTGAAGCAATCTTATATTAATATTGTGTATGAGGAATCACCAGGCGTTGCATCTTGAAGTGACCTACAACTATAATCGCTTACTTCAAACCTTCTTTTGGTGACAATCTCAATAAAACGCTCAAGCATCTCAATAAAAACGCGGCATTCGTTGTTTTCTTGGGATCAGAAGAAGTGTAGTGAGCATTGATTTTGTTATTTTGATGTTGTTCTATTTTCTTATTTAATATTTCTTTAAAGTTCTCCCTGGCATTATTGTTGCAAAATAAAATATATTCTTGGTGTATTCGGCCATCGTTATTTCGTGTCATCACTTCAGGCAAACGAACTTGTAAATATATTATCACATATTCATTAATATTGAAATATATTATTTACACAAAACATTATTTTTCGGAATCTATATATTCGTCCACTTAAGTACCCACAGAAATGTCGCATCTGAACAAATTAATTTCATAATCTATCTATGTCTATATTCCATGACACGAGATGGCGTCTTAGGAATAATTTGTTTTATTATTAATATATAATACTTTTTTATTGATTAAGTATCTTATTAACCGGTGAAAAGTAATTCCTTAATTTTTACTCACATTTCTTGAATTATTTGTGCAATATCTAAGCATATTTTTATCAAGAGTTTTTTTTAAAACAACACAACACGTGACAACTCTACAAGCGCATAGCGAGTAACTGATTAAAGTGCGGTGTAAGCACCCCAGTTGAATGGAACAGAGTAGCTGAATGCAGTGTCGCCTCTAGTACGTAGTACATAATAGCTCAATGATTGTTCTTATCATTTAGGAGTCACCGCAACCACTTACTATTAAGTGCACTACATACTCGTTGGTCATCATTAATTCTATAAAACAAAATAGTAGGTATTTTACGTATAAAAAATGTATCATTTTCCGTAGGTTTTCTTCAAGCGGTTCAATTGTAGATACATGAACCATTTTTTGGGGAGAAGGTACATAAAATTTAAATTCCACAATGAAAAAATAACATAAATTTATCACAGCGTTTAATTTCAGTTAATGTTTATACAATCTTACTAACGTTTCTGACTGCTCAATTTTGGAGAAATTTATGTTGTCAATAAACATTCCATGCCTGAAAAATAATTCAATTTCTTGCATTGTCCTTCCTTTTGTTTCTGGCATATAAACCCAAAGATATACTAAGCACAAAAATACTATAACAGAATTTAATAGAAATACTCCATGATAGCCCATTAAAGCAAACATACTTGGAGCTAATTTTACACTTAAAAATGTTGTTAAACCAGCAAAAGTTCCAAAAGTAAAAGCGCAATAAGTCTTAAACTCTAGTGGATAAATTTCGGCCAATAATATTTCTAACACTGCATAAGGGCCGGCATAAATGATAACGAAGTAAATTGCTAAAATCGTAGAGCAAACCCATGCAAAATAAACATTATTTTTTGGGATAAAATAAAGGCAAATGCTCAATATAATAAGGGCAATATTTGATATTAATCCAAATGAAAACAAAAGAGTTCTTAGTTGCATTTTCTTCAAGAGCAAACTAGGTAATATTGATCCTATAATAATAAATCCATCTATCAATAATGTAAAAAATAAAATTTTTGAACTCCCTGTTATTTCTTGCAACATCGTTATTGCCAGTGTACTGTACAAAATTCTTCCAGCCGCCACCCGATATATGGAAATAACTATACACAATACAATTATCTTCCAAAAATACCGTTGTTTTAATGCTGTCTTTATTTTTTTAATTATCAAATACGATTTATTTGTTGGCAAATTTTCACGTTTTGTTTTCTCCAAATTAACAAGTAAGGCTAATTCCAATTCAGCTTCATCACCGCGACCGTGCAATTTTCTGAACGCTACCTCGCATTCATCGAATCTGCCTTTCGATGCCAACCACGACGGACTTTCAACCCAAAAACACGGTAGTAGAGCTGATAATCCTGTAGGAATTATTCCTATCAGTGCAACTGTTCTCCAGTGCAGTAAAATACTCATTACGTGTCCCAACGTCGTTCCTATTGATGGACCTACGGCCGAAATAATATTAATATATATCGCCCTCTTGCTAGGTGTTGTATACTCAGCCATTGAAATGTAAGTTAATACAATTATTCCTCCGTAACAGACGCCGACTATAACTCTTGAAGCAATTAAAGCTACTAGGTCCGTAGCGAAATAGGTCATTATCCACGTTAACATCACCGAGAGGCTTAGGAAAGTTATAGCCCGTTTTCGTCCGACTTTTTCCGTGATTAGCCCTGCTAAGGCTAAACCACATATGCAAGTTGCATTAATTGAAGAAGCTAAAAAAGTAAAATAATTTATTGAAATATTTAATTACAAATTTGACTAAACATACTTTACTTATATATTTTATATTATACTCAATATTTTGAAGTCATTAATGACAACATTGAATAACATAATTATAAATAGTTAGAAGTCAACACATTACTATCATAACATAGGTTTAAAGAATATTAAAGTATTACCAATCCATGAAATCTCATTGTCGCTAATAGCAATTTCGCTTTTAGAATCTCGCAAAGCGTCCACCATACCAGACATCTGGCCGAAAATGAGTCCATCAGAGATGCTGCATAACGTTAGCCCAGCTATAATAGAAGCCTGTAATATAATATACAATATAAGAGTACTGTTATATTGCAATATTTTTTATGCTTTTCATTACTGATAAATGTTATCTGTATAAACTACTATGTACATTTTCATGACATTTACGTGAATGCTAACATATAACTTTAGATATAAAATAGATTTAAGTAATGTTCGTGCAGTAAACGTTATACTACTTAGTAGATCCTATTTACATAATCTATTTTTATCTTAATTACAGTAAAAGTAACTATTCTTGACATTATGAATATTCATCACTATCATCATTACAGCCCTTCACAGTCCACTGCTGAACGTAGGCCTCCCCCAAAGAATACCACAAAGCACGGTCCAGAGCCACCTGCATCCATCGAATTCCTGCATGTCTTACCAGGTGGTTACTCCACTTCGCCTACTTGTACGAGGTAGTCACTCGAGAAACTTGCTTCCCCACTGCTACTTCAGCTTTCTGATCTCTTGGGCTATGTCGGTTTTAAGTGGCTTTAAGGGCAATGATGACTTATGGTACAGAGACGTGGTCCTTCACTGCCAGTCATATAAGAAAGCTCAAAGTCGCTCAGCGAGCTATGGAGAGGACTATTAAGTATATTAGGATATATTATTTTGGCATTATTTAGATTTTAAAATTTTTCGTTTCCAAACGTAATTTCAAAGTTTTCGCATGTAATGTAGCCTAGATCACTCCGGACATTTCTCTCTATCTCTTCGTTTAGTTTCATTACAATCGGTGCAGTCAATGCACAGATTAGCCCGAACAGGCCGACAGACAGACAAATAGACAAAAATTTTAAAAATGCTTGAATCTGTCTTACTGGTTCTGAATGGCATGGAAATAACCCCAACAGCTCAATGCAAGGCAGTTATTCAGTATATTAATACAGTGGAATCTCTATAACTCGAACGTCGTTAAGTCGAAATCCTCAGTGGGTCCAAAAAAATTGCCATTCCCTTCCGCTGAACCCCTAAATACGCGCTATCTCGAAATATTTGGACTCCGTAACTCGGAAAAAATGTTATTGTCCTACGAAGTATTGATAATTCATATTAATACTCTATAACTTGAATTTCAAAAAAAGACTCCGTAAGTCGTAGTTAGTAAAATATAATGATGTCTTACTTAATCCAATAATTAATAATAAATAAAATCCAAAATGAATGTTCGGGTTCGAGGCTTCTAATCTATTGGTTTAGTCTTATACACGTGTAATAAATGAATACATTCATAAAACTTTCTAAGTAACACAGCTGTGAACGTTATGTTTGTTCCTTGCGGGAACACGCTTACCTTTAGTAGTATTTATTTTGCCTTTGGCTGAACTTGAAAAAATAATTGATAAACAATCCGCAAATAGTTTAAATCAAAATAAGTTAACGGATTTTTTTAATGTATAGTTTACTTCATTAATATGTAATTTCTTTTATTATGTAATTTTTTGTTGAATTGTTATTCAAATTTGATTCTGCGAATAGAAAAATACATATACTTAGAAATCGCGCTGTCGAAATTTCAGCAGTTAAATCATATATTCACCTAGTACAAGCCATAACATACAATCATGTAGGTATGTTAAAACATTGTGTAATTCAAATATTTTTTAAGCTATTGCATAGCTTCTATCGCGGGCCTTGAGCGCCGGGACCGAATCCAGAAATTCCGTAACGAAAAAAAACCTCACACTCCCCACTCCGACGGGCACGGAGGTGTGGCGTTGAAAGCCTTGCATCGTCTAACGTCGTTTCAGTTCGGCAGACTTCGCCACTCAGCAGAGTTCGGCACGGTGTTTGTTTGCGTGCGACTAGACGTATGCGTGTACACTAGCTGCTAACTCAATGATAAAAATTCCTGAATAACCTAAATGTATTGTAAGATATTAAAAATATTTTAAACAATATTAACTTCTCATTTATTCAATAAGAGAAAAAAAATTGTTTTCTTATCGGTCACCATGCTCATGTAACTTGATTTAATATCAAAGACTTAACTGCATAAATAAAATAAATAAATAATTATAATTGCATAAGTTGATAAAAAATGCTATGCAATAGCTTTACTGCGGCAGTCACCGAGTGCCACACGTATTTTTTTTAATTTCGAAGTTCTTGTTAAGTCGAAAACTCGTTAACTCGATTTTTTTTTGCATTTTCCTTGACATTCGAGTTATAGAGATTCCACTGTATTTATTACAGACCGACTCTTAGAATAGTAATGATGAAAATAATTGATTGTAAAATAAAATAAATATAAGTACCAACCTTTCTAAAACTCGTCATTTTCACACTAGCTACCTGATTATATGAATTCTATTCACTTTTTTTTCTTTTTTTTTAAAGAAACGGCAATTTATCACAAAGTAAGTATTAAATTATTAGCCTGCGTGATCTGTAAAATATTTAAAAAAAAAACTTAACATAATGTGTGAAGTAAACAACCACTAGTCTAACGTCAAAACAATATTCAAATTTTGTTACACTTACAATGACACCTACTATTGAGTCGCGTGACATTCATCTACTGAAACAAATGGACATGTACTTTTTATTGGAATTTAAGACAAACTCTCTATAGTGTAGTAAGATTTATCGAACATTTTGAAATAATTAATATGTAAAGTGCGCTCCACTTTGTATACCTGTTGTTTAAGGAGAAGTAAATGTGACAAACTGTTTAAATGATTTGATTGTTGTATCTACATTTTAAATTGTTTTGATAACTTCTTTGAGTAACGAGTAACTTTTAGCAACATTTTTAATCGTTTTCCTCCAGCTTCCTGGGAGAATTGGCTCGGTACATTGGTTTTTAACGTTTATTTCGTTTTGTTTTAATATAAATTTCTGTCGAACCGAATGTTAGCGATATATAAAACCAGCAAATTCTTGTCTCTTAAAGTTTTGTTGAAAAATATTTTTTTAGATTTTCTTATTTCAATGCTATTATACTAATAACCTATTTATGTTATAGAATAAAATTAGAAGTTTTTTTACGTGACTTAAAAAATATTTTAACTAGTGCCCCTCAAAGCCGTTTGCCTGGGCAGGAGTTAACGTTATTTAGATTTAAAATAATCATCACCATTTATTTTTATGAATTTTTGATTTCTCCCTCAAAAAAAATTATGTTGATATAAAACAATACTATTATATTATATACTATCGACAATCCCTAGCTTCGTCTTCGTGGGTTCTATTAATGTGGTAATTTACATTTTTAAATATCTATGTTATTGTTACGACCTTGAGGTTCGTGACAATAAAAACTGCCGACTGAATTACCAAAATTTACACTTTTATTACCCAAATCCAATTAAAACTAAAAAATACTAATAATTAATCACACTAATTCACTTTATTTCGCTCCGAAGCTTCGCTTCTGTCGCCCAAATTCAATACTTCCTCGATCGCATCTTGCAGCGCCTTTAAATACACATTATCACCGAAAAATCCAGAATATTCAAGTAAATACGCGCGCCAATCGACCAGGCGCCGAAAGTTCGAGTGTAGGGCTTATATAAAGCTTAATTCTTCATTTCGATACTAGATGGCGCTGTTGGTTGAAAGATTAGTGATGTCATTTTCTGGAAAGCTCTCCTCGCTCTGTTATCCGACACAGATGGCGCTAGTGCCAAACGTCAACTTAGGCGCGCAACACTGCCCCATCCTAAGACATGCTCGTTCCGAGCATTATCGGCCCCATAATAACGCGCCAGGCGATCCACATGGACGATCTTAGGAGTCCCTCTTGCGCCCTTCTGTATCCGATAGGTTACATCGTTGATCCTGGTCACAATCCGGTACGGGCCGTCCCATTTACCTTGAAGCTTAGGAGATTTCCCTTTGCTGCGGACCGGATTGTGCAACCACACTAGTGAACCTTCGTCGAACCCTTTGTTGTTCATTTTGCGGTCATACCGGGTTTTCATCTTTTCAGACATTTGCTGGCCCGATTGTCTGACGTGCTCATAAATGTCATTCATTTTGTTCCGCAAGTCATATGCATAATCGGTTATACTGCGTGGGGCATTAGGTGGTATCCCGGTGATCAGATCTGCAGGCAGCCGTAATTCTCTTCCAAAGTTTGCGAAAGCTGGTGTCACTGATGTACTTTCGTGAACAGCGCTTCGATATGACAGCAAAAACGGTTGTATGTGCTTATCCCAATCTCGTTGCCGGTTGTCTACAACTTTTGCTAGGTACCTCTCCAATGTCTGATTAAATCGTTCTACCGTTTCATCAGATTGCGGGTGATAAGAAGTCGTTCTTGTTTTATGAGTACCCATAACTCGGCAAGTTGCCTGGAAAATTTGAGACTCAAAATTCCTTCCTTGATCGCTGTGAATCTCTAAAGGTACTCCAAAACGACAGAAGACTTCATGAACTAGTTTATCTGCTAATGTTGCAGCTTCTTGATTTGGAATGGCGAAGACTTCTGGCCACTTAGTGAAGTAATCCATAACAACCGTGAAATACTTGTTACCGCTTTCACTCTCCGGAAACGGCCCCGCCACGTCAATGGCTATTCTATCCCATGGTACACCAACATTGGACAACTTCAACGCACCTCTACTACGAGTTTGAGGTCCCTTTACGGCCAACTTGTGCATTTGCGACACCAGTCCTCGACGTCTTTTCGACATTGGACCCAGTAAAACCGTTCTCGGATCTTCAGTAGAGTTCGTTTAATTCCCAGATGGCCTCCTGAACAATCATTATGGTACAGCTGTAGTACATCCGGTACTTTAGCTTTAGGGACAACCATTTGCAAATGACAGCTGTCTCCCCGAACATTTTCCCATTTACGGCACAGAACTCCATCCTGAAGCAGCAAGCTGTCCCACTGGGCCCAATAGCTTTTAGTGGTAGAACTCATCGCTGAGACGTCGCTCCACTTGGCCTTGGGAGCACTGGCCTTCATCCATTGCAGAATCCTGCTGTGCACATTGTAACCTGTCCTTCCACTCGTTGCTGCGGTGGTCTGTCCTGAGCATCCTCACGGATACCACTTCCTTACTCTCTTGCCTAGTACAATGTTTGCAATTTTCAGGACAAGGTCTTCTTGACAATGCATCTGCGTTGCCATGAGATTTCCCGCTGCGATATTCGATCTCAAAGTCGTATTCCTGCAGTAGTCCAATCCACCTCGCAACTTGTCCTTCTGGATGTTTAAACTGCAATAGCCATTTTAGTGCAACATGGTCAGTTCGCAAGTGAAATTTACGTCCGAGAAGATATTTGCTAAAATGCTGCAACGACTTTACCACAGCTAGCAATTCGCGTCTTGTAACACAATAGTTCCTTTCCGGTTTTGACAACGACTTGCTGAAGTACGCTATCACAATCTCTCGATCACCGTTCCGTTGAGACAACACACTGCCGAGCCCTGTATCACTTGCGTCTGTGTCAACTATAAATTCTTTGCTTGCATCAGGGTATCCAAAAATAGGTGTTTTGCACAGACGGTCCTTGAGCTCCTGGAATGCGATATTGCAACTTTCATCCCAGCAGAAATGTCAATTCTCCTCGGTTAGCTTATGCAGAGGTTTGGCTATATCTGCAAAGTTCTTCACAAATCGCCGGTAATAGGAGCACAAACCCAAAAATGCTCTAACCTGCGTCTTATCTTTTGGAATCGGCCAATCAAAATTTTCTCTGGATCCGTGCGGATACCTTCTTCCGATACTACATACCACAAAAAGTTAACTTGCCGTTTTAATAGTGAACATTTCTTCGGACTCACCTTGAGGTTGGCACTCTGAATCTTCATGAGCACGCGTTCCAGGTTTTGTAGGTATTCCTCAAACGTACGGCCTACGATGATGATGTCATCCAAGTAGACCAGACAGGCATCGCCAATCAGCCCAGTAAGTACAAGTTCAGCCTTTCAAACGTTGCTGGAGCATTGTACAACCCAACGGTTGTACAATGCTCCAGCAACGTTTTCAGCAAGTTACTTTAAATTGCCACAGACCCTTTCCCGTCGAGAACGCAGTTTTCTCCTTATCCTTAGGGTCAATTTCAAGTTGCCAGTAGCCACTTTTTAGATCCAGCATGCTAAACCACTTTACTCCTGTAAGCATGTCCAGCGTGTCATCAATTCTTGGCAAGTGATAGCTATCCTTCTTCGTAACGTCGTTCAGACGGCGGTAGTCAACACAAAACCGCATGCTGCCATCCTTCTTCTTTACCAGCACCACTGGTGAACACCATGGACTAGAGGAAGGTTCAATAACACTATCCTTCACCATTCCTTCAATCATGGTTTCTACTTCCTTTTCACGTGCTACCGGCAATCTTCTTGGCCGCTGAAGGATAGGCAATTCTTCTCTTGTGTTTATTTTGTGTTGAACTAAGCCAGTCTTTCCTATGTCAGCATCGTTTGATGAGAATACATCGGCATACTTGAAGTAACAACTTCTTCGCCTTGACCATTTCGTTCGGGGAGAGAACGCTGCGACAGTCTTCCAAAAGTGTGGTCACTCTCGTTTGTGCATTCTTGCTGGGATCCCACTCGATAAATATTGGCACCGACGTAACCAATCCACTTCCTCACAAGTACCAACCAGCGTGCCTTTTTCTATAATCTGTTCCCGATCACAAAGGTTCAGCACACGTACTCCTGAGATGTCAGTGTTTCTGACCAAAGTTCGAGCTACTTTCTATGGAAGCTTTCAACGGTGAGCTTGCCCAGCGTTTCGAGAAAGACTAACCGGAACAATCGTTTCCGATCTCGGCGGAAGAACAATCTTCTTAAAGCTGTACACATTCCCTGGTAACGCACCTTCCATAAAAAGTTCCTCCTGTCCACATTTCAAAACACCTTGCTTAACGTCGATCTCACAACAGTTATTCCTCATAAAGTCTAGGCCCAGGATGCAGTCGTCCATTATATCAGCCACGATGACATTATGCAGGTAGATCACGTTGCCTAGCTTCAACTCCATCTCCTTCTCTCCACGGACGGGTATACGCTGACCGGTGGCTGTTACCAAATTAATGCGTTCTCGGTTGTATGCGGAGTCCCCAAGAAACTGACTTATAAGTTGGGAACTACCAACCGTACGAGAGGCTCCAGTATCTATGGTCAGTTTACACGGCATTCCGTTGACCTCGCCCTTGATGATCAGACTGTTCCCATCATGGGTTCGTGAGATCAAGATCCTTGGGGCTCTTTTAACATCAGCCAGCACCCGCCCCGCAGTTCTGGCTTTTAATCGTTTCCCTGCTGCTGCTGGGCGGTGCTGTTGGCTGCACTACCCTCCTGAGATCGTTCACCTTCC